CTGAGCCGGGTGGATCCCTGTGTCCATCACAGCTCTGGTCACACTGAGCTACTGTCTGTCACCACGGGAGCTCCCTGAGGGCTGGCCTGTGTCTGAGCTGCTCCAGGGCGCCCACACTGTCCACCAGCCGGCCCGGCCCGGAACATCCTTGGTATGAGAAGTTGCATAAGTGGTTCTCATAGGCCCAACCCAGGAGCCAGGAGCGGTTGGCGCCCCTCCCAGCGCCCGCCGGGACACCCGGTGCACAACCTGGCCTCTTCTGCAACTTGGCACCGATATTTTATTAATAAGCACATTTGGCACTTGCCTTGCACCTTTCATCCTCAACTCTCCGAGCGCCTCCCCAACTTTAATTAATTCTCCCCACACCCCAAATAAGCTGCTCTTCCCACGGCAGATAATGATGTGTGAAGTTCCTTTCCGTAAAGGTGCCATGATTCATTTCTGAGTGTAATTAGAACCCTCTCTTCCCTGTCTCCTAGGCGCTTCCCAGTTCTGCTCCTCCCTCCCTGGGGCCGGCAGGTGGACTCAAAACCTTCAGGATGCAGTGCTTATTTATTATTGTTATGATAAAGCCATGCAAGAGATTGCTGTCTCAACAGCTTAGATATGTCATAAGAAAAAAAATGACAAGATAATTTTTGCAGAGGTGAGAGGCAACCAGAGGGGCGGTGGGTGGAGCAGAGCACATTGGAGCCTGATTTGTGCAAGCAGGCTGGTGAGCTGGTATTGGGGAGGGTCCTGAGAAATCAGTTCTAGGCCATTCTCCCTCCTCCAGGAAGACTCCCCTGGTAAGTCCACACAGATTGGCCTTTTCTGCATCACGCTGGCCTTTAGAGCAGAGACTCATGTTCTGATAGGTGATTGCTCTGTGTAGGTTTGCCCTTCCCAATGACAGTGAGAGTCCTTGTGGAGGACTCATGGTTCCTTATCTTCGCATCCTGAGAATGAACAGAGGACTGGGCATTCAGTGACTTGTACTTGTGATTGTGGGGGGGAATGTGGGAATGGGTGAAAAGCTGGTGGGTGGATGGATGGATGAGTGGAGAGATCAATAGATGGGTATATAACAGGTAGATGGGTGGATGGGTGGATAGATGATGGATGGATTGGTGGGTAGGTGGGTGGATGATGGGTGAACAGGCTCATAGAAAGATGAATATGCAGCAAGATGTTTGGCTAGATGGTGAGCTTCATGGAGAAATGAATGAGGAAGGGGTTGATGGATAGATGGATGAGAGAATGATGGGTGGATGAGGGATAGATGTGTGGCTAGATGGGTTAACATGTGATGATGGGTGGGCATGTCTTTGGATGGACAATAACGACAGTAATAATATTCTACCCAGAGCTCATTTTTGTTGAGGGTCCAGGCACTCTTCCAAGCATCTGTTCCAAGTATATTCATTCAGTAATTTAATGCTGGCAGCCATCATTAGAGGAGACTGCATGCTGGATTGGGAGATGAGGGATGCCTGAACGTGTGTGCTGGTGGGCACACAGATGGGCAGGTGCCTGGCTGGTGTGTGTTTGTGACGGACAGCTGGGCAGGTGCTTGGTTAAGTGGATGGGTGCTGGCTGGGTGGGGAGATGAGGCGGAGGGAGTAGTCGACGTGAGGTCAAGGTTAAAGGGAAGAGCCTGGATATTTTGTTTCCACCCCATTCCCCCCACACCCGCCTTGGGAACCTGGCATCATCCTTGGCCGCTGTCTCACCCCTTACCCCACCAAATCTCAGAGCTCCAGCTGTCTACACCCCTGACAGCCCTGGCTGGATTCGGCCCTTCATCCCCTCAAGTTGTCCTGGGCCCTCCTGTGTCCCCTCCACGTGGCAGCCAAGAGGACCTCACTAAAACACAGCCCCAAGTCCTCCTCTGGCCCCCAGTGCCCGTGGACACCCAGCCTTTCACAGTCAGCGCCTGCAGACTCTCTAAAGGGCCCTGGTTTCCTCCCCACAGGTGCCTTCAGGCTTCTGGACCCACTGTTCATGCGGTGCCCCTTCTGGAAGGCCAGACCCCACTGTCCGCCTCGTGGCCCAGGGAACTCTCTTTTCTCCAGGGTCTCCCGTCCCTGCCTGCCCATCTTCAAGGCAGCACAGAGGTTTCCAGCTGGGCTTAGAGGTCCCTGTGGGAGGTGACCCCCAGCTTCACCAGGGCCGGCCTTCTCGTGTGTAAGACCAGGATGCTCCCCTGTGGGGCTGTCACCAGGATTGATGAGGTGTGGCCGTGCTCACTGTGCCAAGCTGACCGAACTGTGCTCACAAACAATCAGCTACAGTTATTATTAATAAAGTGTCTGCCTTCCCCCACCAGACAGTACATATTTCTCAAAAATAAGATTGGGGCTGGTGCACGGACTGATGAACTCATTCAGCAAATATTGCTGGAGCTTCTCCGTGTACCAGGTGCTGTCCTGATTCTAAGATGATACATTGGTGGCTACGGGCATCCCGGGCCTCGGGGCCTTGGCACCTGCTGGGGAGTGATGACCAGTGGCGGAATCGTGTGCCCACTAAACGAGAGCGAACAGGACCAGCGTAAGGGCCTTGTGGCCAGGTTCCCACCTGGCCGCTCGCCCTGGCCTGTTCTCGGGACCAGAAGCGGCCCTCGCCTTCCAGATCAGGGCAGGCCCTCTGTCTGCGTGTCTGAATCTGAGTCACTTCTCTCTCGGGGACAACAGGGTGACCTTGCTTGTGGGCCCCGAGCAGCTATGAATAGCCTGGAAACCCGAGCAGCCTGCTGCCCTCACACTCCATGTGTGTGCAGGGTGGGGGGCACATCCTGTCCCCCCCATGGTGAGGCCAGCTGCCGCTAGCTTCCTTGGGGCACAGCCGAGCCTTGCCAGCTGCTGGGAGGAGAGGAGCAAGAGGGAGGGGGGAGTTTCCATCTCCAAAAGTGCCAAGCCAGCTCATGGCTGCATTCCTGGGGGTCCACCTGGAGCCTGGGAAGGTGTTTGAATCCTGGCTTGGCCACTTACTCGTGGGTGACCTTCAGCACTGGTCCTCTGGTCTCTGTTTCCCAGGTGAGGATACTGTCGCGCCTTGCTTCAGGGTGTGGAGGTGCCTCAGGTCCCCACCCCGATCCTGCACCTGCGCGTGGACTTGGAGGATGGAGGCCCTTGTCCCAGGCCCCGCCTCCATTGTCCAGCTTTGCTGAGAGCGCACTCCTGCCTTGGCTTCCCCTGAGTCCGTGTGAATAGGTAGGAGCCTCCAGCAGCTCAGAGCCTTGCCCTGGAGCCTCATAGCCTGGGGCAAACCCCAGCCGCTCACAGGCTGTGTGACCTCAGATCGCTCACCTGAGCTCTCCCAGCCCGTTTTCCCCACCATGAGATGGGGGTAATGGCCCATCTCACTTGCCCATCTGTCTCCCCTCAAAGCACACATTCAGACATCTCTCATCTCCCAATTCAGCATGCAGTCTCCTCTAACGATGGTTACAAGCATTAAGTTGTTGTGTGTGTGTGTGTGTGTGTGCACGCGCGCGCAGGCTAAGTCATTTCAGTCATGTCCGACTCTTTGTGATCCTATGGACTGTAGCTGCCAGACTCCTCTGTCCATGGGATTCTCCAGGCAAGAGTACTGGAGTTGGCTGCCATGCCTTTACATTACTTAACAAATATACTTGGAACAAATGCTTGGAAGAGTGCCTGGAACCTCAATAAAAATTAGCTCTGGATAGAATATTATGACTCTTGCTATTGTCCATCCAAAGATTCACCCACCCATCATCACATGCCACAGTGCTGTGGAAGGAGATATGCAAGCAAAGTAACACATAGTAGGTACTTATGAAGCACATAGTAGGTGCTTGGTGTTGGTATCAAGCTTCTTTGTGGGAAGAGCTGGGCATGGTGACTGGCACAGAAATGACCTCTGGAGACCAAGCTGGGAAGGAGACAAAATGGACGCGCTGTTTGTGTTTCTGGCGGCGATTGCAGGGGAGGGGCTGGTGCCTGGGACTGGCAGGGAGAGCATTTAAGCAGGTTTGGATGGAGGAACAGCCTCAACTCTGAGAGATGAAAGAGAGAGAATAGGCTGTCCCCTCAGGTACAGAGCTCCCCATTCTGAGGGGCAATCAAGCATAGTCTTGTTCCCAGAGATGTTGCAACAGTGACTCACATATACATGGACAGTATCTACCCTGGGGTTCCATGACACGGGGATTTATCTGGATCTGGGGCCAGAAAAGACAGACGGTGTGGCCTGGTGGGGGAAGGTGCCGCTGCCCTGCAGGGTCCAGTGGTAGCTCTCCGGGCTGTCCACCTCCCAGCCCTGGTGCTGCACCGTCCTTACCTGCCGGCAGATGCACAGACGGCTTCCTCCTCCCACAGACACGCCGGAGGTGAGGGTACCAGTGTCTTCCCGCCCCCACCATGTCCTTGCCCTACAGGTCAGGGCGTTTTCCCCAAGCAGCTGACCCATGTGCTCCTCCACCTCCTCCAGACAGTATCGATACCTGGCGGCCTCAGGGGTATTTTACACAGTCAGTACAATGAGGGCCAGTTTCTGCATTAAGGTCTCAGCTTAAAACCCTCCCACAGTGGCCTGGAATAAGAATTCATTCATTCAACAGGGGTCCTGCGGTGACTGCTGCAAACCAGGGATTGCTCCACCTGGAGAGATGTCAGGGAGCGGGTGATTCTTGGTTGTATTTATAACTGTGTCACTTCCTCCCTCTCTTGTCCCTCTGTGGGCCGTCAGGTCCCAAGTCTGGGCCTAAATCTCTCCTGAGCACCAAACCCGCATCCGCAGGTGCTCAGGCCCCAGGTCTACAGGCAGGTCCGAGGTGCGACTCTGTCCTGCTGCCCCAAACCACCCGCTTCTGTGGCCTTGGGCTCCGTCCTGCCCTCCAATTGGACGCCCATCCCAGGCTCTGTCTGCTTCCAGCCACAATGACCCCGCGGAAATGCCACAGTCACTGTCGCCTGGACAACTGACAAGGGCAGCGGCTGCCTGGGGTCAGCCCCTCCCCACCCCCCTGACCCCGTCACCCGGTGTCACAGACTGGTGTCCATCCGGCACTCGCGATGGACAGGTAAAGCTGAAGTTCTCAGTAGCATGTCAATGGGGTTATCGGACAGGCAGCTTCCCCAGACGGAGGAAATGAGCAGGGGCCCTTCTCCAGGCCTCGGGCTCCCCAGGCGGACCAGAGCAGAGGGGGCCTAGAAGGACAAGGAGCTCCTGTCCTCCTTCAAGTCCCCAGCGGGGAGGGGGCTGCAGCCCCCACCTCCAGCCTGGCGGGACCAGTCGGAGGGTCTGTCCTGCGTCTCTGGAGCCTCGGTGCCCCGGGGTCCCCTTCAGGAGAGACCAGGAGAGAGGGTGGAGCTGGACACGGTGGTGCCCCCATGGCTGTCCTGGTGAAGGTGCCTGTCTTGAGTCCTGTGCACCAGCCACGGGGCCCAGAGCCCGCCTAGGAGAACAAGGGACTCCAACAGAGAGGCTTCTAGGCGTGGACATCAGAGAGGCAGGAGCTGGAGTGGGGAGCCGCTGCAGCCCAGAGCCTGCGATTGCTTTGGGAAGCCTCCGTGGCGGAGGTGCCTCGCTGGTGTACGGAGGGCCAAGGAGGGCAGACGCGCGGCAGCTGGGGTGGCGTTGCGTTAGGGGCCCAGTGAGCCAGCGGGTCGGCTGACTCACGTCCTCGCTCCAGGAGAAACACCCAGAGCCCTGACTGTCTGGGGCTCCCCGCCCCTCTCTCCCTCCGCAGGCGGAGCGGCCCTGGTCCCTGGCTCAGACCGTGAAGCCACGTAGCCAGGCTGGTGGGGCTCGCTGCCCTGCCCATCGGGGTGGGATGTGTGGGGCCCCGGGCTTTCTCCTGCCTGGGCTTGAGTCTCAGGGGATCTGGAGGTGCCTGTGTTGACCCGCAGACACGTGAACTGACCGTGGAGGTTTCTAGATGGTGGACGGGGCTTGGGCAGGGTCCCTTTCCAGCCCAGAGACTGGCCCCTGGTTTCTCAGGCAGGGGATCGAGTGAGGCGGAGCGGGAGGAGGATCTGAGCCTCTGGAAGCATCCCTTGCTTATAGCGAAATCCCTGTTGGTGGCGACCAGGTGGTCCCCACCCCCGCGCCCTCTGCCTCCCAACAGGTGTGTAGCAGGTGCTTGCCCACCTGGCCCTATTGAGAACTCGGCAGAGCCAATCAGCGATAACCACAATCAGACTCACACCCTCCATCGCCCCATGGCGCCCAGAGCAAAGCTGGCTCACGGCACCTTCCCTGCCGGGCACTGGTCCTGGGACCACACAGCAATGCTGCTCACCTCCATCAAATCCTTCCTGAGATGTCAGCTCTCCAGTAAGGCCTCAGGGGTCTCACTGCCCGTCCCCCATTAAGATGCCCTTTCTCGGTCTGATTTCTGGTTTCTGCCACCCGCCGTGGCCAAAGCGCCTCCTGATTGTCTGTGGGCTCTGTCCCTTTGCTTCCTTGTTACACGTGCCCCTTTCATCCGGCGGTCCCACCGCCCAGCAGCTGGGCTCAGGATCTGCTCACCTTCCACTGCTCCCCCCAGGGCCCAGCACACAGTAGGCCCTCAGCAAAAATCTGCCGAACGAACGAACCAACCAGGATTCTGCCGAGACATCCAGCAGAACACGGGCGGGTATCTGGGTCTGCTGCTCTCAACCACGCAACGGTTTTTTAAATATTTTTGTTTCATTTATCAGAAATCAAGGCGGTGTCAAGCACAGTAATACATCTAAATTGGTTGATTAAAGCAAAAGGAAGAAAATGGTACTTTGTGGCAATTAAACAGAAGCCACAGGAAGATTTAGAAATATTGTGATCCCTGATGCGGTTTTTGCAAATGGGGTTTCTATTCATAGCGAGGCCGTCATCATCTTATTTCATTATTTCTGGGGGCTTTCTTCACTGCTCTTCCCCTGGGTTTCTTGGTACTGTTATATAAAGTGATTCCAGTCATGGAAATCACACGCTGTTTGTTCTTGCCGGTTTGGGAGCCGGGCCTGTCATGCAGAGAGAGCCGGCCTGGGGGTCTTGATGTAGATATTGAAGCTCCTCTTGCAACAGGTGGGGGTCAGAGGCTGAGCCCTGGGCCAGGGGCACGCAAGGTAAGCAGCTCGCCTCTGAGGCTCCCTTTCCCCACCCTTGCCCGACTCCAGCAAGCCCACTCCTGCCTCAGGGCCTTTGCACCGACCTGTCCTGCTTCCTGTACATTTCTGCTGTCCCCAGATATCCCCGAGGCTGGCTTCCTCCTTCCTGCCTGCCTTGGTGGAAATGGCAGTTTTGAGAGGAGGCCTCTCTAAAGCACCCCTCACCTCCAGAAGCTTCCCACTTGCCTTCCCAGCTTCTTTTTCCCCGGGACATTTATTGCTGTCTGCTATATGATATATGCACTCACTTAATTGTAAGCAGTAAACAGACTCAAGCATTCTTTAGGTGGGTGGGGGCTCAGGTCTGTGGCCTGAGGGAGACGGAGGGGCAGAGACAGCTCCAGGTTTCTGGGTTGAGGAGTGGGATGGGGGATGGATGGGGAACCAAGGTCACACTTCCCTGAGCAGCAGGTGGTGTCCCAGGCACGCTGGTACCTGCAGAGCCCCCATGTGGCCCCTCCTCTGGCTGGCCTGTCCCCAGGGCCCACCTGGCACTCAGCCTGGCCTCCCTAACCCTGTGGCTGGCCCCGATCACCCGTAGCAACCTTTGGGTGCCCTTGGATTGTTGTTATACTTTGAACTGTTATTGTTGTCCTTCAGTCACTAGGTTGTGTTTGACTCTCTGTGATCCCATGGACTGCAGCACACCAGGCTTCCCTGTCCTTCACCATCTCCCCGAGTTTGCTCAGACTCATGCCTACTGACTCTGGGATGCCATCCAACCATCTCATCCTCTGTCTCCCCTTCTCCTCCTGCCCATAGTCTTTCCCAGCGCCAGGGTCTTTTCCAGTACATTGAACTGAAATGAAAGTGAAAGTCACTCAGTCTTGTCCAACTCTTTGTGACCCCATGGACTATACAGTCCATAGAATTCTCCAGGCCAGAACACTGGAGTGGATAGCCTTTCCCTTCTCCAGGGGATCTTCCCAACCCAGGGATCGAACCCAGCTCTCCCACATTGCAGGCGGATTCTTTACCAGCTGAGCTACCTGGGACGCCCACCTTGAACTGTGTCCCTCCAAGATTTACATGTTGACATCCCAACCCTCAGTGCCTAGACTGTGGCACTTTTTTGGGAACTAGGATTGTTGCAGATGTGAGTAAGTTCAGATGAGGTCGTAGTGGAGTCAGGTGAGCCCTGGTCCGGCGTGATCGATGCCCTTATAGAAAGGGACATTTGGAGACAGACACGTGGCGAGAAGGCCATGTGAAGATGAGAGCAGACATGGGAGGCTGCAGCTACAAGCCAGTGAACACCAAAGATGGCCAGAAACCCGCAGAAGCTGGGACAGGGGCTCGTCACAGATCACTCCTCAGAGCCTCGGAGGCAACCGGCCCTGCCCACACCTCGAGCTCTGATCCTGGCCTCCAGACTGTGAGCGCGTGAATGTCTGTTGCATTGAGTTCCCGATCTGTGGTGCTTCGCTACAGCTGCCCCGAGACGCCGGTGGCACTGCCAAGCTCAAACTGCCCGGCCCCTGACCCTCCCTCAGCGGCCCCCTTGCAGCCCCACCCCGTCTGGAACTGTCTCTGGGAGCGACGCCCTTGCTCATCAAGCAAAGAGGCAGCTCTCGGACCCTCGTTCTGCCTTTGGAAAATTGGGATAATAATACCCAACTCCCACGGCTGTCACGAGCCTTCAGGAAAACACAGCGGCAACACACCTGGTTCGTAGTAAGGTTCAGTCTTTGGTGGCAGCCGTGCCGCGGTTATTTTTATTATTGTTGTTATTAATAGTATGATTGTCATTGGCTGTCAGCCGCAGGATCTGAGCTAGTGTGAGGGGGGATCAGAGAGCCGGGCAGTGGGGCCTCTGCCCACCACCCTACAGGGGAGAGTAGGCCACCTGTAGGACATGGCCGATGTGAGTTCATGCATTCAGCCCTTGTTGCAGGCTTTGTGTCCAGATGCGTCTACACCTCCTGGGAGGGAGGTGCATCAGTGGTGGGTGAAATGCCACAGGACCTGGGCTCTGATGATAGGATCCAGATGGGCTGCGGGGGCCCAGGGGGCACTTGATCCAGCCTGGACAGGGTGGTAGATGCAGGGAAGGCTTCACAGCGTAAGTGACTTTTTGAAAAGGGCATCAAAGGAAGGGACTCTGCGTATCCAGACTCCCAGCTCCCATGTCCGTGTGCTGTGTGACCTTGGGCTGGCCCCTCACCTCTGGGCTTCCATCTCCCTGCATGAAAAGCAAGCGCCCACCCCCTGGAAGAGCTTGGAGTAATCACACCTGCCGAGTCTCATGGTTGTTGGTGGTGTTTAGTTGCTCAGTCATATCCAACTCTTTTTTGATCCCATGGACTGTAACCCACCCGGCTCCTCTGTCCATGGGATTCTCCAAGCAAGAACACTGGAGTAGGTTGCCATTTCCTTCTCCAGGGGATCTTCCCGACCCAGGGATTGAACCCGCGTCTCCTGCTTGGCAGGAGGCTTCTTCACCACTGAGCCACCTAGGGAAGCCCTGAGTCTCATGGAGCCCAGGCCCTATTCTCCAAAGCCAACCCAGGTAAGGACCCATATCTCCCTGGAGGCGCTTGAGCCTGGCAGGCTCATAGCTGACATTTCAGCCAGTTCTGAAAGCCGCGTGCCTGTGGATAAGAAAAGAATCCTCTGGACAAACATCTAAAGCCTTTCACGACCCCCTGCCCCGTTGTTCCAGTTGAGGAGAAAACAAATAGCCGAACCTATCTTGCTGAAGACCCGCACCCTGCCGGGCTGAGCCCGAACCATCCAATAAGTTCCCGGTTCTTTTATTCCATTTCAGCTCTGCGGCTGGCCACCTGCCTGTCCTTTGAGCACTGAAATAGAGAGATAAACGGGAATGCCAGAGCTGGGCAGATGTCACAGTTTCTGAGTCGCCCCTTGCCTGCCACCTGGGATTTTGTTTTCCCTGATGGAAGATAGTACCCTTAGCGACGCGAACTCT